GCGCTTGATGTGCATGTTGACAAGGTGCCTACCTGTCTATTACCCACTACCTCGTCCATACTGGCTCCAGGAGACAGTTGGTCGTTGCTGGAGGGGACGGGGTGCACGGTCCTTGTGGCCGTGCTAGGCTCGAAGAGTGGTTCCATGCACTCAGTGTGGAGCGGACTACGGTCCAGCCACCGCCTAGTGTGCGCTTGCTTCCCCAAATACAGTGTGCTTGTGTTTGCCTGTGAAGGAGTGTGGGCCGGCTCCGTTGATGAAACGTGGCTCCCATCCACATGCCTCCCGGTCATATTCCTTCGGGTTTACACTGGGTATGGGGTGTGTGGTTGGAGCTGTGGGTGGTGCAGCGCAAGCCACCCATGGTCCCTCTGTAGGCGCAGGCGTCCTGTGGCTGACCACATTGACAGGCAAATCCGAAACCGGATGCCGCCAACCATGTATGTATGTATGTATGTCAGCAGTGTCTGCGACGAATTTTGCGGATCGGCTGGGGCGCCAGAGTTGCAGACACGGAAGTGTTGCGCCGAAGTGGGATGTATGCAGTGGACTGCATACTTTTACTGAGACACCTGAGATGGCTCGGTCATGTGAGCCGTATGGATTCGACGCGAATACCGAAACAACTTTTATACGGTCAGCTAAGTATTGGGAAGCGGCATGCTGGGAAACCAAAGTTACGTTACCAGGACATGATTAAAGTGAGCCTCACACGTTCTAATCTTGATTGCAGATCATGGGAATCGAAGGCGGTTGATCGGCGTGCATGGCGCGATCTAATCACGAAGGCAGTTGCTGAAGTGCGGGAGAAAGCCCTCATGCATGCAGAGAAGAAGCGGCAGTTGCGGAAGCGGCAAGCACCAATGAATTGTACTCCATCGACATCGAGCGCATTGTGCTGCAGAACATGCGGTCGCGAGTGCCTTAGTCAGGCAGGCCTAGTGAGCCATGAGAGAGGTCACTCGGGACCACTGCCGAAGCGACGACGGGTCCCGCAGTGAACGTAGGCAGCACCGGCGCAGCGTTTGTAGGCACGCTGAATTCCATTTACTAACCGCATGCTTGCATGCTAAGTCTCTTTATTTCAGGTGGTGGGTTTTCGGTTCTCTCCTAATGCCTTTCTTTCTCATATAAATGTCTAGTGGGCCATGCGCTGTGCCATTTGGGGCCACTACAAAAGCGACGACGGGTCCTGCAAAGAATTACGGCGAGGCGGCGCAGCGTTTGTAGGCACGCTGAATTCGATTTACTAACCGCGTGCTTGCATGCTAAGTCTCTTTATTTCAGGTGGTGGGTTTACAGTTTTTACCTTAATGCTTTTCTTTCTCATATAAATATCTCCCTGTACTCTATTCCATTAACTTGCACACATCGCTTCAGCCAAATGTATTAGATTTCCATAACATTTTTGTGTTCGTGGCATTCCGTGAACCATACAATCTGACCTCGTGCACTCAGCTAGGATCGGTTTGTAAACAACTTATTACATATGCTCATTAAATTAAGGTTTATATCACCGTTTCCTTATGCATTAATCGAGTTCTTCTCTTTTTCTTTCTCTCTATCTCAAGTGTTTGGCTGTTGTTTAATATCCCCGGTGTGGCTGCGCTTGATGTGCATGTTGACAAGGTGCCTACCTGTCTATTACCCACTACCTCGTCCATACTGGCTCCAGGAGACAGTTGGTCGTTGCTGGAGGGGACGGGGTGCACGGTCCTTGTGGCCGTGCTAGGCTCGAAGAGTGGTTCCATGCACTCAGTGTGGAGCGGACTACGGTCCAGCCACCGCCTAGTGTGCGCTTGCTTCCCCAAATACAGTGTGCTTGTGTTTGCCTGTGAAGGAGTGTGGGCCGGCTCCGTTGATGAAACGTGGCTCCCATCCACATGCCTCCCGGTCATATTCCTTCGGGTTTACACTGGGTATGGGGTGTGTGGTTGGAGCTGTGGGTGGTGCATCGCAATCCACCCATGGTCCCTCTGTAGGCGCAGGCGTCCTGTGGCTGACCACATTGACAGGCAAATCCGAAACCGGATGCCGCCAACCATGTATGTATGTATGTATGTCAGCAGTGTCTGCGACGAATTTTGCGGATCGGCTGGGGCGCCAGAGTTGCAGACACGGAAGTGTTGCGCCGAAGTGGGATGTATGCAGTGGACTGCATACTTTTACTGAGACACCTGAGATGGCTCGGTCATGTGAGCCGTATGGATTCGACGCGGATACCGAAACAACTTTTATACGGTCAGCTAAGTATTGGGAAGCGGCATGCTGGGAAACCAAAGTTACGTTACCAGGACATGATTAAAGTGAGCCTCACACGTTCTAATCTTGATTGCAGATCATGGGAATCGAAGGCGGTTGATCGGCGTGCATGGCGCGATCTAATCACGAAGGCAGTTGCTGAAGTGCGGGAGAAAGCCCTCATGCATGCAGAGAAGAAGCGGCAAGTGCGGAAGCGGCAAGCACCAATGAATTGTACTCCATCGACATCGAGCGCATTGTGCTGCAGAACATGCGGTCGCGAGTGCCTTAGTCAGGCAGGCCTAGTGAGCCATGAGAGAGGTCACTCGGGACCACTGCCGAAGCGACGACGGGTCCCGCAGTGAACGTAGGCAGCACCGGCGCAGCGTTTGTAGGCACGCTGAATTCGATTTACTAACCGCATGCTTGCATGCTAAGTCTCTTTATTTCAGGTGGTGGGTTTTCGGTTCTCTCCTAATGCCTTTCTTTCTCATATAAATGTCTAGTGGGCCATGCGCTGTGCCATTTGGGGCCACTACAAAAGCGACGACGGGTCCTGCAAAGAATTACGGCGAGGCGGCGCAGCGTTTGTAGGCACGCTGAATTCGATTTACTAACCGCGTGCTTGCATGCTAAGTCTCTTTATTTCAGGTGGTGGGTTTACAGTTTTTACCTTAATGCTTTTCTTTCTCATATAAATATCTCCCTGTACTCTATTCCATTAACTTGCACACATCGCTTCAGCCAAATGTATTAGATTTCCATAACATTTTTGTGTTCGTGGCATTCCGTGAACCATACAATCTGACCTCGTGCACTCAGCTAGGATCGGTTTGTAAACAACTTATTACATATGCTCATTAAATTAAGGTTTATATCACCGTTTCCTTATGCATTAATCGAGTTCTTCTCTTTTTCTTTCTCTCTATCTCAAGTGTTTGGCTGTTGTTTAATATCCCCGGTGTGGCTGCGCTTGATGTGCATGTTGACAAGGTGCCTACCTGTCTATTACCCACTACCACGTCCATACTGGCTCCAGGAGACAGTTGGTCGTTGCTGGAGGGGAGAGGGTGCACGGTCCTTGTGGCCGTGTTAGGCTCAAAGAGCGGTTCCATGCATCTGGTGTGGAGCGGACTACGGTCCAGCCACCACCTTGTGTGCGCTTGATTCCCAAATACAGTGTGCTTGTGTTTGCCTGTGAAGGAGTGTGGGCCGGCTCCGTTGATGAAACGTGGTTCCCATCCGCATGCCTCCCGGTCTTATTCCTTGGGGTTTACACTGGATATGGGGTATGTGGTTGGAGCTGTGGGTGGTGCAGCGCAAGCCACCCATGGTCCCACTGTAGGCGCAGGCGTCCTGTGGTTGGCCGCAGTGACAGACAAACCCGAAACCGGATGCCGCCAACCATATATAGTTTGCGGCTTAGTGTTCCGGATTGGCCTGTCACTGTGGCGGCTATAGTCAGCCACAGAACGCTTGCGCCTACAGAAAGAGCATGGGTGGCTTGCGCTGCGCCACCCGCAACATCTCATATCCAGTGTAAACCCGAAAAATGACCGGGAGGGGTGTGGATGGGAGTCATATTCCATCAACATGCACAACAGCATTCCTGTGTACGTAAATTAGGAATCGTGCGTAGCAGACATACAGAAGGCGATGGCTGGGCCGTAGTCCACTCCACAATGGTTGCATGGAACCACATTTTGAGCCTAGCACGGCCACGAGAGCTGTGCACCCCTTCCCCCCAGCAATGATTCACAGCCTGCTGGAGCCAAGAATCGATGTGGAGGGTGTTAGATAAGTAGGCACCTTGTCAACAATCACATCAAGCTCAGTCACACCGGGATATCAAACAACCAACACAAAATTGGAAGGAAAATAAATGCGCAAAATTGACACGAGTTGCAGCAAAAAATAGGTGAGGAAATAAAGTGAAATACATTTTATCTAGGCTAAGAAGATCTAGTTTGTGTAAGTCGGTGTAGTCTTACTGCGATGAAGAAGCATGATATATACAACATCAACCTAAGAATATGAACACAAACACCAGATCGGTGACTGGGTAGATATGGCATCTGGTTGCTGAATCCAGTTTGTGCAGATGCGGGTAGCTTCGCACGGTCACCAACCAGTAAATGACTACTAGTAGCCGCTTATCAGCGAAGTCCCGAAACAAAGTGTTGGCGTATCGCTGTTGTTTCTACGAATACAGAATGTATTCGGTCGCATCCGATAATAGACGAGAACAACTGGCTGGGGGGACCCAACCGGAGAAGTATGGCAGTAAACTCATGGACAAAAACCGGTGTCCCCGTTGTCAGCGACAACCAATGGTGCCAACAGGACTGAAGAACTGTCCTTTATCAGCATAGTCTTGAGAAAGAGAGTCCCCGACTAATTACCAGCCCTCGAGATGCCGGCTACTGGACCCGAGCTCGCACAGCTTTTAAACGTCGGCATACGGGTGGTCGAAAAAGCAAGGCGTCTGCATTGCAATCCTGACTTCACCAGTTCGAGCCTGTGTAGGGGACCGGACGAACTTCGCAGTAACCTTAGCACACGCGCGACTGTTCGGGGTTGCGTGGAAGCGAAGCCACGGTACGTCGTACCGGCGCATTGCTGATGTTAGTCTTATTTGTTTCTTAGTGTAGTGCAATGGCCTACACAGACAACCAAATTATCATTTAGTGCTAAGGCGCGATCACACTACAATGGTAGATCACCTGTCTAACACAGTCCACAACAGCTTTCCCTAGTCATTATCGTGCAACACAGTAGCAAACAATAGTGTAAAACTGTACACCACAGTCAGCACTCGAGCAAGGATAGGCAAAGAGAACTGTTGAATACCACCATGGGCAAGGCGGAAAGAGAAGGTCAATGCGAAATTCGCATATGCCCACTTTAAACACACTAGACCAAGTCAAAGTATATGTAAATAATGGAGCAAAAATGAATCGCTTGGATCCCCGATGGCTTACATGGTGCAACAGAGCGTAATTATGCGTGTGAAGATCGCGAGCCTCCTGCAGTGCATCCAGCCACTTTTGGCGTTCGTTTGAGTCACGCGCTGCAACGCAAGAGAAGATAGATAAGCGTATGAGGTGGCACACGTGTAAGCAGACTATTAAGTTCGGAGAGCAGACCAACTCCATGCGAATAGACTGCAAAATGAAGTTCGAATTTTGACTTACCCTAACGTAAACCATGATTATTCATGGCACCGGGACCTAAACTGCAGTGAGGATATCATTGCTCTGGAACTGTCAACAGAGTTCGTTTGTTTGTGTCACAGAGTTCGTCTTTGGCTATACTTTTCAGTTTGCGGTAGCAGTGTCAAACTCAAGATGAGATCGTAGTCGGCAGGCATGTTTACTACAAAAAGCTAGCAAGTACACTTAGAAATGACTGAAAGCTTTGCTGAAGACAAGCATTGCCCGTGATTCATTAAAAGCCGGTTTCTCGGATGCGATGCAGAATCTTAAACGGGAGGAAAGCGCTGAAAGCCGGAAACACCTGAATCAACGACCTGGCCAGGGATCCGTCGTCAAGCTTTGGAATAACCCCTGTTTGGTTTATGGTACTAAATCTCGAGCGAGGTATAGTATCCAAACAAGGACGGAACCGGCAGTGGAGCGCAGAATCAGAAGCAAGAAATAAGAAATGTCTTTAAACAGATGATTATCTGAGTACCTAAGTTCACGCACCAAAGGAAACTAGTAAAGCGTTTGCCTCCCAATGCGAACGCGAGTAGAATGATGAGTTGTGGCAGTGGCACGGAAAGTAACTTATGAAGCGATTACATGGAGTTGAAAATTAAAAAAAAACTACAAATCACCATGACAAGCTGCTACATTGTGCTTCGCTTAAATAGCCTGGGCCTTAGTCAACAAAGGCACTAGGAAGGTGAAATCATCAGACAAGCTGAAGCGGAAGCAGCGCACAATGCCAACTGTTCATTTAGGCTTCTAGATACCAAGATACACTTCGGGTACCCATCCAATTTTATGAAAGCCCTTGACGACCAGACGCAGACAGAGACTCAGACATTCGGTGAGCTACTGGACTGCTCCACTATCTTTAGCGCGATGGTAATGAGCACTTCGGCGGAGAGTTCCACTCGTACGCCACTGCAGTCCGACGTGTGCAAAGGCTTGAGATTCTGCGTGTAAAGTACTGCGTAACGTATTCGAGTCCCTCGTAATTTCGAGGAAGAGCGTGGCACACAAAGTCCCACGAAAAAGGAATGACCAAGGGAGTGTTTTATCGATTTACGATGGCTGTCTGATCTGGACTAAAGGTGGCGACTTTTGTGTAAACAACACAAATCCATCTATGATGCTCGATCAGTTTAGTGTGAGAGTGTATGGAACGATCTAAACATTAGCGTGCGAACTAAATTTGAAAAGTTGCTATACCGGGGCTCCCCACTTGCAATTCAGGGCCGCGCTGCTGTGCTGTTACAAAAGCCCGGTTGTGACACTGCTTATCCATGAAGGGTGTGCCGGCTAAATCACTTTCCATTATGCAGTCTCTAAAGTGAATCCCGAGGCCGTTGTAAAGACCTACGGGAAACTGTCTCCCAGGTTCACTACGACAAGTGGAGTTCCCCAAGGTTGTCCTATATCTCCTTTCCTTTTCCACTTCGTGATCGAAATGATCATAAGTGACTCGGTTCTTTCACTTTGCCAAGGTGGAATTTCCGCCAGGCGACCAACTAACAAAGGTGGAGTACGCGGACGACTGTTCGATTTGGGTCTGACGTAATGGCTATGCAAACACCACTTGATAGACTGGTGCGTAGTGTTGCACGCTTCGGCAGGTGCTTTGCCTATGCAAATTGCAAAGTACTGTTGCAAGAGTGGATCGGTACACTTCCTGTTCTAGCTATCACTGAACAGCCAGTGAAATGGTGGATCGGTTCACTTATCTTGGTAGCTGCGTTAACTCTTGTGGTCACAACACTGAGGCCTGTGTGGCTTTCCAGAGGCTAAACCACCTATGGAGACGGCGGGATAACAGTCCGTCAGTGAAAGGTAGAGTGTATAACGCTGCGGTATGGCCGGTCTTACTGTATAGATCAGAGACTTGGTCAGTTCGCGGCGAAAACATTAAGCGTTTAGCCGTTTGCGGAGTATTGCCCACATCTGGTAGGAACACCGGGTGGGCAATGCTGAAGTCCGCCAGTTGCTTTTTGGCAAGAAACCTTCCGGTGCCTCACTCGAGTGTTTGCTGGATTTCAACCTACAAATTATGCCCATACAAAGAAAAGAAATTTTTTCGTAACAGTTCTCTTGATGGTTGAATGGGCATAAATTGTGGGCGATTCGCCAGCTGCGTTCAGCAAACGTAAAAAGTATTTGAAGTTCAACGCAAGGCTCGCTAGTACGAAGGCGGAAATTCGTTTCATACAAGAGTGCTTACGGCGCAGTCAGTATCCCAAAAATAACTAGAAATCTTCGAGGCGGTGTCACGTGCGTCCTACTAATAGACATGCGTACAACCGCTTGGAAGAGATTCAATCAAGCGTTCCTGAGTTAGAAATACATTGTTCCACTACTACTTAGCTGTGGAAGACCAAAACACTAAGCAATGAGATTCGCATCAGAGGAATATGCACGATGTGCGCACTAAGGCTGACGAACGTAAATATGATACACTGTTGAAAAGCTTGGAACCGAATATACCCGGAGCGAGATTTCCTTTACACCCAGAACGATATGTGTACAATTTTTCAAGCGGAGTAAACAAACTGCAAATGGAAGCTCTCACTGGTTCCAAGACTTTGTGTGTCACAACCTCGCACGAAGGAGCTGCATGTAGAGACGCGGTTTGAAAACTTGATACACCAACTGAGTTGACACCTAGCTCATCCCTCGCCTACGACACTTTCAGGACAACGTTAGTGCGTCTTTCTTAAAGCTATCAGTACTTTAGACCGCAATTTTCAGAAATAATTACTAAAGAACATCGAAAAGCGATTACGCAACTTACATCCAATCCTGATGTCATACTTTCACGGCCTGTTAAAGGATCGGGTTGGGTTATAATGGACAAGTCCGAATATATGTCGAAGAAATATACTATTATGAGCGATACGAGTGAGTTCTTGATGGACCCAGTACAAAAGGATAGCGATGCAAGAGACGACACGAGCCTCAATAAGCTACTGAACGAACTGAAGCAAACCAACCATATAGAGGGTACGTTGTTCGAACAGTTAACCCCATGCGGCTCCCAACCGCCTCGACTATATGGGTTACCCAAGTGCATAAGGCCAATGCACCAGTACGTCTAATTATAGATATGTCTGGCTCCGCCGTACACCCATTGGCAAAATGCCTCATTGAACTACTCGAACCACTGTAAGAAATTGTCTATGCACACCGTGACGGATATGTTTGAATTTGTTGAACGTGTAAAAAAGCTGAAGGTGAAGAAAAGTATGTTCATTTGACGTTGAATCCCTCTATACTAAACGGGAAATTTTTATCTGTGAACAACTGATAACATATCCGTCTTATGAGAATGCCAGCGTGTAGATTGAAGGAACTCATTTTACGTTGTAGTTTAAAAATACAGTCTCTGTTCGAGGGGCAACATTATGGGCAACTAGATGGAGTTGCGATGAGATAACCCTTAGGACCTCTACTTGATAGTTTTTTCTTAGTTAAAGTCGGATATGATCTCATCCGACATTTTATCGCGTTTTTTGATTCCCATCAATGATACACATAAATGCATGTAAATGTAAACTGCCCGATCGTGGCAAATTACTTCGGTTATAAAATCTGTTTATACGACTGAAAGGCATGCACATTGAAGCCATTTTATCCGACAACAATTGCCGTGACCTGCGACAACTTTTGAAACAACTGTGTGACAAAGGCTTTAGTAAACACCTAGGATCTGAATTCCAATCTGCCCCTGCCTTCATTTCGCCCGCTATCACACTCCGCAGATAGTCCAATATTTGCATTCCAAGACCTCGATGTCTACCAGGAACTCAAGAGGTTGAATGTGAGGAAGGCCGAAGGGCTTGATACTCTATCACCCAGTGTTTTAAAAGAGTGCGCCGACGCTATAGCCTTAGCTTAAACATATATGTTCAATCGGTGCATACAGAGTGACAATATTTTCGAAATTTTGAGGCATGTCAGGATAACGCCAGTCCCAAAAAAGGAAGCTCAGAAATTCCACTCCATTGTTTGTACATCTGTCATGCTGAAAGTCAGAAGGACTGTTATTCCTTTAATTTCTACAAGCACCCCAGCTAGTGATGCCTCTCAGTTTGTTCTTAAACCCAAAGGCCCCCAGTTGGATGCAATGGCCTATCTCGTTCACTCAATAGCATCTGCATTAGATGTTAAATGTAAGGCAGGCTTTTCCTGGGTTATTCAAACGCTTTTGGGAGTATCGACAGGTCACTGCGTCTCAGCCTATTATCCACAAACGGCTTTAAATCTGCGGGGTGCAATCTAATTGGAAATTATTTTACAAATCGCTTACAACTCACCTAACTGAACGGCAAAATGTCCTCGACTCTTGGTAACAACTGGAGTCTTTTAAAGAAAGTAATCCACTCCCCCCGTTGTTTTATTTGTACACCGAGAGACTTCCTATTCCACGAGGTTTTATTAGATGTAAATACGCCGACGACGTCGTTTTAGGCAGCGTCCTTCTCACCAACGAGTCATTCTGGGCGCTTCAAAATGGATGGACGAGCTTGAACGGTGGTCAATTTCCCAATCCCTTGTCCTCAACACTTCAAAATGCCGGGACTTAATCCTTTCACTTATCCGAGATGACAAACGTCAAACTGCCCAATGCTTCGGATCCCATTATTGTGAACAAATGCATTATACCAAGTTCACTCACTGTTAGGTATCTGGGTTTATTTTTATTCCAAAACTTAGCATGGTCTAGAAACATCGATGAAAGCTTTCGCAAGATACGGAGACTATCATTTTATGCTCTGCGGCTCAAGCAGCTTAAATTACCACGATATTTAATCTATAAATTCGTAGCTACCTGTATTCTCCCTCACTGGTTGTACTGCTTACCTGTTAT